GACCCGGCCGGACCAGTCCAGATCAGTCCAGTCCAGTCCAGTCCAGTTCAATCGAGTCCAGTTCAGTGCATTGCAGTCCAGTCCGGACCCGGCCAGTCCAGTCCAGTCCATTCCAGTTTAGTCCAGTCCAGGCCAATGCAGTTCAGCCCAGTCCAGTCCAGTCCAGTCCAGTGCAATCAGGTTTTGTCCAGTCCAGTCCAGTGCAGTCCAGCCCTGTGTAATCCAGTCCAGTCCAGTCTAATACAGTACAGTCCAACCCATTCCAGTCCAGTCCAGTCCAGTCCAGTCCACTGCAGTCCAGTAGAGTCCAGTCCAGTGCAGTTTAGTACCGTCAAGTCCACTCCAGTCCAGTCCTGTCCAATCAAGTCCAGTCCAGTCCAGTCGAGTGCAGTCCAGTTCAATCCAGTCCAGTACAGCACTGTCCAGTCCAGCACAGCCCAATCCAGTCCAGTCCAGTCCAGTCCATTCCAGTCTAGACCGGTCCAGTCCAGTCCAGTACAGTGCAGTCCAGTCCAATCCAGTCCAGTGAAGTCCAGTTCACCCCAGTGTAATCCATTCCAGTCCAGTCCAAACCAGTCCAGTGCAGTTTAGTACAGTCACGTCCAATCCAGTACAGTCCAGTCTAGTCCAGTCCAGTGCAGTCCAGTCCAGTCCAATCCAGTCCAGTCCAGNAACCAGTCCAGTGCAGTTTAGTACAGTCACGTCCAATCCAGTACAGTCCAGTATAGTCCAGTCAAGTCCAGTCCAGTCCAGTTCATTTCAGTTTTGTCCTGTGCAATCCAGTGCAGTCCACCCAGGTCCACTCCAGTCCAGTCCAGTCTAATCCAGTACAGTCCAATCCAGTCCAGTCCAGTCCACTCCAGTCCACTCCATTCCAGTCCAGTCCAGTCCAGTCCTGTCCAGTCCATTCAAATCCAGTTCAGCCCTGTCCACTCCAGTCCGGTAGAGTCCAGTCCAGTGCAGTGAAGTCCAACCCTCTCCAGTCCAAACCATTCCAGTCCAGTCCAGTCCACTCCATTCCAGTTCAGTACATTTCAGTCCAATCCAGTCCAGTGCAGCATAGTACATTAACGTACACTCCGGTCCAGTCCAGGCCAATCCAGGCCAGGCCAGTCCAGTCCAGTCCAGTCCAATCCAGTCCAGTCCAGTCCAGTCAAGTCAAGTCCATTCCAGTCAAGTCTAGTCCAGTCCAGTCCACTCCATTCCATTCCATTCCACGCCGATCACGTCCATTCCAGTCCAGTCCGTCGAGTTCAGTCCAGTCCAGTCCAGTCCAGTTCAGTCCAAGCCAGTCCAGTGCAGTCCAGTGCAGTCCAGTCCAGTCCAGTCCAGTCCAGTCCAGTCTAGTCCAGTCAAGTCAAGTCCAGTC